TTTATTAATTAATATATTTTCAAAAAAGAATATGTATTTTAATTATTTAATTTAATGTCATTTATAAAGTTTTTTATTTGTCTAGTATAAAATTTTTAAAATAATTTAAATTTTTTATTTTTAAAAAAATTTTATTACAATTTTTATGATTGCAATTGTGCATCCAAACAGAACATGTGTAATTACACTGTGACAACCAAACATGTCAGCGTAATTACTAGACAGTGTAATTAATAGGCTGGTAATTACTACCCTAGTAATTACACCAATTCCAATTACCAAGTGGCTTTCCAAACAGACCCTTAGAAAAAAATCTGACTCAAATCGAATCATAAACACCCCTAATAGTATGGGCACAACAATGTCTAGTACTTATTAAATGTTTTTATGGTAAGTATTTAATACTCCCTCTGTCCCAATTTATATGACTCACTTTTCTTTTTAGTCAGTCCCAAAAAGAATGACACATTTCTATTTTAAGTAACAATTTGCCTATAAAATGTCTTTTTTACCCTTAATGAAATGATTTACAACCACACAAATTTCTATCATTCATTTTGGACCACAAGTTTTAAAAGTCTTTCCATTTTTCTTAAAGTTTGTGCCAAATCAAAGTACATCATATAAAATGGGACGGAGGGAGTAGTAAGTAATACCCCATGTCTATTTTTATTTGTCATGTTACGCTTTTTGAAAGTCAATTTGATTAATTTTCAAAGTTAAATTAGATTACATTAATTTGATATTTTAAACAAAAAATTTAGATATTCAAAAACTATACTAAAAGTAGTATAAATTGCAATTTTTTGCATATCAATATGATGAAAAAATACATCGTAAAATGTTAGTAATTTTTTTTTATAGTTTAATTCTAAAAAAAGAAACTATGACAATTAAAAGTGGATGAAGATAGTAATATGTTAAGATTGATTAAGGAAAAAATAACTAAAAGAAAAATAGAAAACAAAAAAAAACACTTAAACAAAACAGGATGGAGAGGATCAAACAAAACAAGACAGTAAAATCACGAGAGAACTAAAAAAGACAGAGTAGATGGATTGAAATTTTAGTAGATCGAAGATCACTACACCCCCAATTGACATTGGCTGAAATTTTTGCTGTTAGATTATTTTAATTAAGTAGTAAACGATGCTAATTACTTAATGCCTAATAGGCCTGTTCCGATTTTAAAGAATTAATTATTGCTTGCACATGGGGTAACGTGCTTTAATATGCTGGCTACTTGCCCTACGTTACAACAACAGTGCAGGGTATACTTTTTCAGAAAAAAACTGTTCTTTTAAACAATGGATTATTTAGAATTTATATTTGTAAAAATTATAAAAATAATATATTGTAATTTTTGAAATAAAAAGAATGAAACAGAAAAAGGATTAAATTGGTGACAAAAGAAAAAAACACAAAAGAGAAAAATCGCTTAAATTGGTGACAAAAAAGGAACTTAAAAGTGCATCAGCAAGGCAAGTTGTATTTTATGGAGTTTTTGGCAAAAAACATCCTTAAACTATATCCTTAACTTAAACTACATCCTTAAATTATTTTTCTTAACGGAAAACATTCCTCAATTATTTAAAATTTGACAACTTTCATCCTTTTGTTAAAATTTGTCAAAAACTAACAAATTCTTCACAACATGTACGATGCACACTACTCTCAACAAATTAAACTCTCTAAATCACCCCAATAAACCAATTATGTTCATTCGACATACATTTAAAATAATATTATAAATTTTTTTAGTAACAACGTTTTGCATTGTCTTTCTTTAATTAGCAATTTTATTTTTATTTATTTTTCATTTGATTTGATATCAAAGAATTATCAATGGAAATGTTTTTTTTCATTTAATCTGCAGAAAGTGGTGTTGATCGAAGACTTTTACTTCTAATAATGGAAAACGAAACTTGAGTACTAGAGATCAAAATTAGCTGAATCTTGATCACATCAATTATTAATTTGCCCCAAAAAATTATTGATCTAATGACATTTTAACTTTGCAAGGTGAAGATGATGTGAAATTAAATTTCAACTTCATTTAGTTGGTAAAGGAGAAGTAAAGATCATATCTCCTCGTAGACTCACGCCGTCCTAACATTGTTTTTTTAACAACAAATATGAGTCTCAATTTTTTTAAAATTTTTTAGATGCTTTTTCCAACTGGTAATAATATTGTAGATTTTTTTTATGAGAATAGTATGAATTGCATATGTTTTTGTGTGGAATTCGCTAAATTTTTGATAAATTTAAATAGAGGGATGAAAGTTGTTAAGTTTTAAATACTTGGAGAATATTTTTTGTTAAAAAGAAAAATTTAAGGATGTAATTTAAATTGGGGTATAATTTAATGATGTTTTTAACCAAAAACTCTATTTTATGCGTCAACTCTTAACTCTATTTTATGCGTTAACTCTTTTTGTTTTTATTTATATTTTTACAAATAATCCAAAACTGTCGTGTCCTACCAGCCTTCTTCTTCTTCTTCTTTATTTAGTATTTATTTAATACATACAGTTTGACAAATCAATGGGCTGCATCCATAAGAAAGAAATCCAAAAAAGTGAAAATTGGAAGAGAAGAGCCACCATGTCTTCTCCTCCTGCAATTGTGAATCTGCGGATGTTATTTGTATGTTGTATTCTCATTGCAGTGAAGGGTGGATGGGATGAGGAAGTTGGATTACTTAGAAGAGGAGGAGAACAGAGAGAGTTCGATTACTTCAAGCTAGCTCTTCAATGGCCCGGCACCTATTGCCGGAAAACTCGCCATTGCTGCTCTTCCAACGCCTGTTGCACTCGGTATCTATATATATCCCTCTTTTTAATACTATTACATTCAAATTTGGGCAAATCCATTCATTTGTTCTTCTCACTCTTGGAAAATTGGGTCTTTCATAACTAAATCTACTCCGGCAAATGGTGGTCACCGACAAGATTCGTATCTTTGTTTTCCTACAATTTCGCATGCGTTTGAAAGTAGTAGCTTACCTGTGTGATTTTTGTGTATTTTTCCAGCTCAAACTCGCCATCTGTATTCACAATTCGTAAGTCCTACTCCCTTCTGCCAGAGGTGTGTAATTCATTTTTCATGTGCTCACAAGTGAAAGATACAACTCAATAAGGTTTGTTCTCTTCTAGATGGACTTTGGACAGAGTATAACGATGGAACTTGGCCTTCCTGCTGTTCTGGTCGCCCTTTTGATGAGAAGGAGGTATGTTTGCCCTTTCTTTATGACAGAGAAGCTTTGAATGTGAGAATGGATGGGTGGAACTATCTGCATTGCTACTCAACAGTTTGTAACTGGAGCAACAGTGTCTTCTGATGCCAGTTCACAAAGTTGGGGTTCAAACATTTGTCTCCTGTGGTCCTCGTTCCAGCTTTATCACTGGCAACACCCTTGGGTGCAGTTCTCTGATAAAGTTTAAGCATTAAACAACTTATTAAGGATTTCCCAAATTTTCACCTTCATATTGAACATTTCTTCTTGTGTGAACACTTATGCTTTGGTCTACTTGCTATGATCTTAACTATTAATCATGAAGTATGCGATATAAGACCTTATGTCTTGTCTACTTATGAATTTGATTTTTCAGATCTTAATTCTGTGAAATGATTTGCACATATTGATTGGCAACATAGACCATGCTGTGAGATTATGTGATGTGCACCAAAGAATTTTTGCAAATATAATTAGAGCGTTAAGCCATCAGCAATCTTTTGTTGTGAAGTGTCTTGAAATGCTTTTATTTTATTTAGCAGCAACTAGCATCTGTGAACTTTATTGGTTAGCTAGGATATTTGCAAATTCCGCAATGAGGTCATTGAGAAGCTTAGATTTCTTTAATCATAGTGGTGCTTCCCTTATATCTATTTCATGCTTACTCCTCATCACTGAGTTCAAATTTATTTGTTTATGAGCCAAGTACTTTTTGTCAGATTTCAACATTGCTTGAGCCAATGAGGAAGTATTGGCCTTCTTTAAGTTGTGGTTCCCCCAGATCTTGCCATCACAAAAAAGGACCATTCTGGGGTCATGAGGTGGTTTCACTGTTATCTTTACTCATCGATTGTTTGAATTTGATACAATTAAGGAACTGACACATTCTTCTTGCATTCCTCTATGCTGACTCTGGAGATACTCAATTACAGTGGGGTAATTACCTTGCTTTATTCTTTATTTATATTAAATTAATCGTACAAGAGATTGACTAGGAGAATGGTTGAACTTAACTACTATCTGTAATGCTATAGTTTACTAGCTGATACTTGAGGACTTGGGGGCTATGAGTACTTTGCTGTTAGTTGCAGCTGGCTTGGGGCTTCATGTCCAGCTGGGCCTCTGTTTCTGGATTGTAATGTTGACTTCTGTAATAAAATTGTCATTTACCAAAAAGTAAAATTAATTGTACAAGATGAAAGAAGGTTAAGAGCTTGCTATTTTTTAGAATTTAATTGAGAAGCAAGGTTCTAGATTTCCGCAGCAAGGAGCCAAGGATGTAAAAACCTAGAAATTACTCGATTCTTTACATCTCTTAACAAATTAAGAGTAGCTCCCTTCTTCTCCTTGGATACTGATAAGTGATTAGACATTTAATTCCTCATGTATTATTATTATTATTATTTATTGTTATTACTACTATTAATATATTTCTTTCTTCTCCTTCTAAAACTGAGGTATGAGGTAGTTTTTTCCTTCTGCTTTTGTCATTTCATCAATGAGATGTCTTTGGGTATGCACTTAATGTGCACACAAAGAGGATGCCATAATCTCCCTTTGGTATGACAATAATGTGCCAACATAGGACTAAAAGACAAAAAATTGTGTTTATTAGCTTGCAAGGTTTACATATAATTTTGGTTATCAAATTTTTTTTTTTTTTTGAGAATGAATTTTGGTTATCAAATATTTACACATAATTTGTGGATGGGCTTGAATAATTCATATTCTGCATTTGGTAGCGATTAAGGAGTATCGAGGGGGAGTGTGGGGTTATCAGGAGCATTAATCCCTCTACATTACACTGAGGATCCACCTCCTAAAAGTGGTTGTCTTATTTCTTTGCAATGCAATATGTAAAAGAAATCATGTTCTTTTCCTCAACCAACACTTCATAGTATGTATTATGCTGTGGTATAATATATTATGGTTGCCAACAAAACGCCTGGTTTTCAATAGGGAGGTATATGGAGATTAACACAGGGCCTTATCTCTCTACTAAATCCAATCTGATTATAGTACAGACTACAGAAAGTCTGATACAGTTATATGCGCTTTAAATATATCATATGGACATAAGTCAGATAGGATCCTCTTTAATTTATCCCTTGTGACTATATTTTCATCCTTATTGATTGCAGAAAAACATGGGACATGTGCTTATCCAGTTGTCCATGACGAATATGAATTCTTTTTGACAACGTTGAATGTTTACTTCAAATATAACGTCACAGTAAGTGATTTTTCATGCTATGTATTTTAGTTTTGAAATAATATCCTTGGAAGACCAATATATTTTTTATTGTAGCAATTTCATGTCCTTTTCCTTCTTTTTGGTTATACATTCTAATTTTTTTTATGCTTGTTGGGATATTTTCATTCTATGAAGTTGTTGATGATATCAAATACAGAAGAAGTTGCATCTTGAATAATTATATGTTAAAACTTACTTATGGATGTTTATTAGTACCTAGTTCTTGTCGATACAAAATATATCAAGAAGGAAATCTTTGTGACTCGATAATTAACAGCAAAATTAAGGGGAGAGGGGGGGGGGGGAGACCTAACCTGGACATGCATTGTGTAACATATATGCTGTAACTTCTCAATTAATCAACTGTATCAGAACATTCTTGATATCATTGCTTATGCATTAAAAATGGTTTATAATGGTATTGTTGTTGATACAGTTTCATTTTGTTTTCACTTGAATAATTATATGTTAAAACTTACTTATGGATGTTTATTAGTACCTATTTCTTGTCGATACAAAATTTATCAAGAGGGAAATCTTTGTGACTTGGTAATAATTAACAGCAGAATTACGGGGAGAGGGGGGGGGGGGCGGTAACCTGCACATGCATTGTGTAACGTATATGCTGTAACTTATGGATTAATCAACTGTATCAAAATATTCTTGATATCATTGTTTATGCGTTAAAAACTGTTTATAATGGTATTATTGTTGATACAGTTTCATTTTGTTATCAGATGAATATTAACAAGATCTCTTCAATGTCAATAAACCAACCATCTAGTGATTTTATGCCTGATAATTGCATATGAACATGCTGTTGCTCGTTGATTAGTCTCTACTGTTTCCTTTTATAACCTGTTGAACACTTATATGTTTTCTTCCCTGTTAGTCAACTAACCAAATAGATTATGTGTGGTACTTGACTAACATTACGCACTCAAACACAATGCCAGGAAGTTCTATTTGAAGCTGGATATGTACCATCAAATTCCGAAAAGTATCCATTAGGAGGCATCATTTCAGCCATTCAAAATGCTTTTCATACAACCCCAGAGTTGGTATGCTCAGGCGATGCCCTGGAAGAACTTCGTATATGTTTCTTTAAGAATTTTGAGGTTGGTCGTCTCTCTGATGCTCTGACAGAAATACTGCAATAGATGCTTTGTGATCTCACATTTATTGTTATGTAACCATGATTCTTATAGCATCAAATAAAAAATATCAGACACACTGTGTTGCATCTGCGGAAATCTGTCAGTGCCTGATCTAAAATAGAAATCTTTGTCAGCATCAAGGAAGTACCTTTCATTCTGTTACTTCTTTTCTATCCCGGACAGCCTCAGCAGTAGATATCACATGACCATAATGCAGAGAGGTTCATGACTTGATCGTTAAGGATGTATTTCTTGTTTATATGTCTAGGGTTACTAAGGTTTTGTGCATTGCCGTAAGGCCAACTGATAAGACAAATGAACAAAAAACAATGACCTTCCTTCTTTTTTATCATCCATTACCCCCTTGGTCGTCCCATTAATCAATGTCCTAGATGTTAAGAGCAGGGGGATTAGGAAGAATATGGGCTTTGTTTTGGTATTCTGATTTTATTCATCATACAAGTTACTGGGAAAAGTTAATTTCATGTTTATCTTGAATCTCTATTATTAGCAGACCGTCATTCCCCTAATCTTCCCCATTACAATTAGAAGTAAATTATAAACATGTGCTTCAATACCATTCTTTTTACAGCCTCGTGACTGTGCATATGATACAAGCTTAAGAAGGTCATGTCCTCAGTACGTCAGCCTGCCAGCCCATGGATCATGGGGTAAGTTCTCTTTGTTTTTTCTTCCTTTGGCTGCCTACTTTATTTGTTTAGCTTAATTGATCTGCATGTAATAAAAATATTCTCTTACACAACAAACTTGAAGTTTCGGGAGCCATTCTTATGATTGTTCCAAGTACCATGCGTAAGATAAATATGACTATGACATGGTAGATGATGTACATACTGAGTTAAGTGCAACAGAGAACGGAGTAGCTTCCTCCTCTCTGATTTCCCTATATACTAAGTAAATTGCAACAAAGAATGGAGTAAATGAGCACACCTACGCATTGATGTTCTACTTGCCTTTCTTAAAAAGAGAGTACTCCTAAAAAATATTAGTATTTTCAAAGAACAATGCAAGCTATTTGGATCATTTAAAAGCCAAGACAAGTTTTCTCCTAGGCACATGTCCCCAAAATCTTTCTCTCTCCTAATCTAGGAGAGCAGAACTCCCCTCCGGTGACCTTCTGTCACCGGAATTCTCTCCTCTTTCTTTCTTTCAAACCGGCATAATCTTTCTTTTTCTTTCTTTTCTTCTAACCCACTTTCCTTTTCTTCTAATCAATGGATGAAGATATGATTTTCTTCGCAATGGGATTCAAGTCTTATGACATAGCTAGAGATGAATCACGAGCAGAGATGTGGAATGATTGGACTGAGAGAGGAAGGATCATGATGAGCAGAGCTAGCTTTAGCCAGAAATCGATGGAATGGATCTGTTCGATCCTTAAGGAAGTGTCAAAGGTGAAAGGAAACAATGTTAGAAGATGGAGAAGACATGAGCATATTTCACACTTATTCTGTGCAAGGAACTTTAACAACAAAGGAAGATATATAAGCATTATCAGCATTCAAGGCAAGAGCAGAGCAGTATTAATAGTCCCAAAAATCTCATTCAATGCTGGCTGGTGGGATCTGGCCACCAAAATTGAAAAGTTCATTCATTACAAAGCTAATAAGACAGTCAATCAGAATTACAAAATGGTGGATAAAGAGATTCCATATGCAGAGACGGTGAGGAGGAGCAGATGGTCGTCCAGAGAGATCAATAGTGCAGTCATAAAGGAGAGAGGGGACACCATCCTCATAAATGGTGGCCTCAATCAACCTCGAAACGAGCTCATAGGCAAGAGCCTTGTTGGTAGCTTTCCAACAAATGGATCTGAGATGGCCACCCTATCGGAAGTTCGTAGATGGGCAAGCAAAAATTGGAACCAAGCCCACGGCCTTAACGTTTACGAGATGGGAAACAACTGCTTTCTCTTCGAGTTTACGTCCATAAATGCGGCCGAGCATGTTCTTAGAGGAAGATGATTGTGGAAGAATCAAGGAATTTGGCTGCAATGGTGGTCACCGACTGTTGGTGCAATTCAATCTAGGGTTGCCATAAGCCAGTCGTGGATCAGATTAGTGGGCCTCCCTTTACATTTGTGGTCTCAGAATGTATTTAAAGCAGTGGGGGACTTCTGCGGTGGCTGGGTGAAGACAGAGGAGGAAACAGATCTTCGCAATCACCTAAAGTGGGCAAGAATACTCGTCAAAGCCAACGGAAATTCCATTCCGAAGGAGGTGAAGATAGCTTTTGAAGGTATCGAGTATATCATACAAGTATGGGACGAAACACCGACAAGGTTTTTCGCCGGAGAGAGTGCCTGCGATATCGGAGGAGATAGGAGGACCCAATCTTCAAACCAATGGTTATTGCAGAAGGGTGAAACTTCGAAATCCACGCCTCTGCCAGCTGGTGACAGGAACTTTCACGTGGGAAGCACAAAAGATTTTGAATCTATTAACAGGGCACGTGATATTAAGCAGCTGAAAGGAAAAGAGTTGGGCCTGGACCCACTGGCCCAACAAGATTGTAACTTAAATGAAAAGCAGGTCAATATTTCAGATTGGACCTCAGAGCCTTTGCTCGATGAAATACAAGCAAATTACAGGAATTTAGTGGCACCAGACAAGGAAGGCGATCCAGTCCATCTATTCCATGGAGACAGAGATGAGAATTTCGAATTTCTAGCAGATATAAGGGACGACGACGATATGTCGATCATTCATACAGAGGAAAGAACAACCACAGAAACACAAACAGGAAACAATATGTTACTGGAACATAAGGGAGATGGGGAAGGTATAATTGAAGATATCATACCACTAAATTCAGAAGAGCAGGACATTGGTATAGCAGCAGAGAACGAAATTCCTTCATGGATCCAACAGAATATTATCAGGCTGAGCAAAGAATTTGGGGTGCAATTTATTGGATGTGAAGAAGCAGCTCTGAATCTATTCATGAAAATTGATGGCAAGAGGGAAGCAATTGAGAAGATGGCTGGAGCCATAGTTCCTACGACTCCAACAGAAAAGATCCCAAGAGAACTCAAGAATCTGGAACCAGCTAGTAACTTTGTGAGCTATGGTACAAGAAGTAGGGGGGGTTGTTTCATAAATGTTTTAAATGAAAGTTAACATAGTTTCATGGAATGTAAGGGGCCTCAATGATCCAAGGAAGAGGCTACTGATAAAAAACATGATGAATAATTGGAGGGCAGATGTGTATTGTTGCAAATCGCGCAAAGCCCATTTCGGGTTGATTCGATTCCCCCGCTTGCCCAGGAAATGAGTTGCGTAGCGGTTACCTTAGGGTTAGGGAGGGAATAGCCTTTCAGTCTACTAGCAGCAATTCCATAGCTACCTGAAAACACACTTTCTTTTTTTCTTAAGCATCCCGCCTATTCCTTAATGTTAGCTCAGACACTAGGCAATAGAACGAAGTTAGTTCCTAATTCCCACAGTTTTTGCAGTGCTTCTTCTACCCATCTCGATCAAAAGCCCCTTCTTTCCTCGTCCGAGGGACTTTTTCTTTAGAATTTCTTAATAGAAAGAGGAAATCCGCTGTTCGGAAGAGAATACAGAGAATCCGCGAGGAGCTAGAAGAAGACCGTTGCTATCCGGCTATCTAGAAATTCAATGTATGAATAAAGGGGCTTTTAAGCGCTTCCCTCGTCTTAGAGCTGCGTATTCAATTCGCATCAAAAAAGTGAGAAGGATTTGCTGCCGTTTAGAAGCACAACATGATGCATATCCGCTCTTAGTACAAAGACGTGCAAGACTTTTGCCACGAAGAGCTTCTTGCTCTCTAGGCTTGAAGGCGGCAATCTAGCTTCTATTGAAACAAAACGAAGGAACTTCCGGAGTGAAGGTTCAGACTTAAGGCTAAGGCAGCGAGTGAGCCGAGGAGAGGTTGAGTGAAATCAGCAGCTAGCCTTTTCGGAATAGGAATGCCCGATGTTCTTGCTCTTCTTCAGTCTTCTTAGGATGAAGCTTTCACTGGAATTTCCTACTCTAAGTTCAGTGACCTGGCACAATCTAATTATTAATTAATAGAACCCAGAACAGGCTCAAGGCCATCTCTTCCAACATTTTCTTACTTCTATCCCTTTGAATAGCAAAGTTGCCCGCGTCTCGTAAGGCCAAGAGTTCTGTCATTCCTCTCTGTCAACTCGAAGTCTAAGGCAAGGAACTTTCAATTCCATTTTCTTTTCATAGGCTCTTTTATTGAGACCAAATCGTTTCTTCTTTCAAAAGAGTTCCCCCCCTCCCGCTATTACTATTACAAAGAGACTAGCCGCGGCAAGAGATGAAATAGGACCGGAGTCGTTCAAAGCGAAAGAAGTTCCGATCACAGACAGCTTCTAAAAGAAGAGAAAAGAGAAGAGGGGCAAGGGCGGCAAGACCAGAGAAGGAGCTAAGACCGCTTAGGCCTTTTACTAATGCCCCCACACTAAAAGAGAGAAATCTATGTAACTTTGGATCTTAGCAGCAGTTTCCGAAAAGACTAGTAGCCCTTATTCCTTGCATCAACAGGCAATCCCGCATAAAAGAAAGGCTACTGACTTGGCTGATTCAACAAACAAGGGAAAAGGGCATCCATTCAAACTGCTCCCATTCCTATGTTGACACCAAGAAAAAGAAACCCTGGAGCCTTCCTCTCTATCCATTCCTTTTTCATAATCATAAAGGATGGAAATGCTTAGCTTACTAAACCAGCAACAGCGGAGTAAGCTCCCATATCCGTGAAGGACTGCTTTCCAGCAGAGGAAAACTTCTCGTTGCTGCGCTTGCCGTTAAAGAGTAAGATGCTGATTCTATAGCAGCTCCGATTCCTTCACCGAGAACAAGAAGGAAGTCTTATAGAACGAACAAGCGCTAAAGAAGGGGGTGGGATCTCTCCTAAAAGAAAGAATTGACCTCGAGCCTGTCCTACTCATTCTCCCTTTCCCGTTCCTGACCCTCACCCTCAAGTCACGACCTAATGTAAGTTCTTTCAGTCCTTTTCGAGCTAGCATAGCTGCTGATATGGAATAGCCCTTCTCTAGCCTGGAGCCTGGAAAAGCAAAGTCCGATCTACGATACGCCATAACCATCCACCCCGTCCTAGGGGAACTTCCCACCACCTATCTTGGCATGCCTCTGGGGGCTAAGAGTAAATCTTTGAGCATCTGGAACTCTGTGGTAGAAAAATGTGAAAGGAAGTTGGTTAACTGGAAAAGTCAATACTTATCCTCGGGTGGTAGAGTCACACTTATCAACAGTGTTCTTGATGCCATGCCAACCTATATGATGTCCCTTTTTCCTATGCCTGGGAAGATCATTCAGAGGCTGGACACAATCAGAAGAAATTTTCTTTGGCAAGGTAATGGGGAAGGGGTCAAGAAATTTCACTTGGTCAAGTGGGATGCTGTTATTTCCAACAAAAAAGAGGGAGGTCTGGGAATTAAGAATTTGAAAGCCCACAATAAGAGCCTTCTGCTAAAATGGCTCTGGAGACTAGCAACAGATGATCAGAGCTTATGGAAGGGCACTATCTTTGCAAGATATGGAAAGGAAGGATCATGGACTACTAAGGAGGTCAATACTCCTTATGGTGTGGGTCTATGGAGAACTATTAGAAATCAGTGGCCAAGAATTTGGAACAACTCTGTGATTAATGTGGGAAA